AGACATAAGGCCTATCTGATACATATTCTACAGCCAAGTTCAATCTCCCCCAGCCCTCTCTCACTCCCTTCCTCTCTCTCACTCCTACACATAGTTTCCGATAACTTGCATGGCACTTAGTTCCTTATCTCTCGTGAGACCCATTCTCCTTCGAAAATTCATGGTACCTATCTTGTCATGGACAAGAAATATATTATAATAGCAATATCATCGTTTTCTGTATAGTAAATTTGAAACAAGGAAGGTTAGGGTTCCTTGTAATGAAGGCAGAATGTTGGCGGATGGAGAATTCTAAACTACAGGCAATAAACTCAAGTGTAAAGATAAGAACGTACCGATATCTGAAATTTGCTCCGCAGATATTCAGCAACTCTTACGTCTCCTTTTTCCATATTATACTGCATTTGTTTCTTTGCTTTTCTCTCTACATGCTGGTAACACTTCTTCATTTCATTCTTGGTATCGCACCCTATGGGATTCACTCGTTTTCCTCACACACACACGGAACTCTTCCTTCCTTCTTTCAACCCTGCCCTCAGCATTCTTGCGCAGTTCTTATTCTACCCTTGCTGCCGGTCTAATCCCCAGCCAATCTTCGTTTCGTAGCACGTTTTCTGCGTTAGGCTTTACTTATATTTCTACGCCCTATTTCACACATATTCCTATATCCTTGAGTCGGGGATCTACGCGAAACATTTGTTCCTCATTTCTATTCGAGCTATCAAAACGTTCTCAGTCTCAAAGACTGGTATTAAAAGAGGAGTAAATTCTTACTTTTCGAATAAACGCATGAAAGTTTCTGACTGTTGGTCAGCAATGGAAAAAACGTACATCGAACTCAGCTGACCATAATAAATATTGGAAGTAACAGGATTTAATAACACAAGTTTATAACCCTTACATTGCTAACAGAACTGTTTGTGAGAATAACCAAACAGAGATTGCTTATGAGCTTTGTTTGTAATTTGGAGCGTAATATCAAAAATAGATATTGGACAATCAAAATATCATGCTGTAAATGGGGTTTAATTTGCGTTGGACAAGGCACAATGGTGGACATATTTAACGTGATGGTGACCATTCAGTTTATAACAAGCAGGATTTTTCTTGGTAATTAGAATGTAACACGTGCCATGGAAGGATGTCATATTATGACTTAAGTTAGTTATAATATTATAGAAATTCTGTATTTTGGAACTAACCAGCAGCTTTATTATTACCGGTGTTTTAGATGAAGGATATATTATGGATACATAAGCACGAAATATATGTCTCTGAAAGCGACTTTGAGATATAATGTTCTCTAAGTAGAATTGTTTATTATTCAGAAATTTATAAATGGGGATACAATGGATTAGAATATGAATTGAATAGGGAAATGTTAAGTGCCTATTTAAAGTATAGTTTATTTTAAAATGTAGGACATTATATGACTTTATTGTATTAACTTTAAAAAAATGGGATTAAGATGGACTCAGTTTTTATTCCTGTTTTTCCGTTATATAACATTCAATTTTTGTTTTAAGCATTTTGACTTACCGAATTATACTTCTGACAGGCAGGCAGGAATATACACTAATAATTATGACACCATCAGATTTGCGGTCAATAAAATAAGTAACATGTTAGTTGTATACTTTATTCTAGCCTGAATTCCTGAACTAAAGATATTCTACTTCGCTTACCTCCTAGTAGATGGCTCGATTTCGAATTGAAGTTTTTTTTACGACAGTTTGTTTCATTGTGTTACACTGCTTTGTTTGGACTTTGTCTGTAGTTATACAACATTTCAGTAGTTGGGATACAGTTTCATTTTTATTCACCTGATGATGGAAGTGGAAACGAAGTTTCTACGCATTTTAATTGTACAATATTTAGACGATGGACAAAATGCAAAAGAACAATTTCACTCGACTGACCTCGATGAAGGTAAGATCTAGTGGAGAGACATTTCGACCGCTCGGCGAAAGAATACAGAACACCACAATCTGGATTGCCGCGGCCACAGAAACTTCAAATCTCGTAAAAACCCATGTCAATGTCAATGAGACGTACCGTATACTTATTACAAGACATGTCAAATAATTATACAAATTATATCGGTATGAAAAGTGTATCTGTAAAGAAATTCATGATCATAGGTCATACCCAACCGAACTGTCTGTACTTACTTCTACAAGCAAAATAAAATGGCGGAAGTTTTCAAAAGTAGCTGAAAGCTTATAAACAAAGATTTGTCTTGTGTATATACATGCTTTTATCACATATCGTGCATCTGAAATACTTACAAACACCTCTTGGTTATGTATATAGTATATATACATCGTAATAGCATACGTTATATAGCCTGATGGTGCTCAGATTACATCTTAAGAAACTCAGAATACGTGTATGTGTGGAAAGGTAAAAGTTCAAG